TATACACCCAGGCGAAATTAGTGATGAATGAAGATTTTTTTAGGAGGGGTGGGGTGTGTGTGTGAATGTGACACTCACGCTGGGAAGGGTTGCGTGCGTGGGGCAATACTTCGCGTGGTGCCGATCTGAATGGCATCAGGAGGGGTCATCATCACGTAGAACTGGCCTGTGGAAAGCATGACAGCCGTGTTAATGGGGATTTTTTTTTGGGAGGGGGGGGGTTAAATCTTCCGACATTAAAACCCAATGACACTCGCGCCTCCGCTTCGAGCATCAAAGACAATCACAATGCCAACGTTACGATGTTGTGGAGAAGTCAAGTCAAGTGCAGCAGAACCTCCAACGCCGAACGCAATCCAGTCTGTGATGCCGGGTGACTTCAGCGTTTGAATGACTTCAGAAATTGTTCATTAGTGACATTCCGAGTTGTCAAATCGCTATTTAAAAAAGTAAAATAAAGTAAAACTACTCACATGCATAAGACACATACTGAAGTGGGGAATCACTCTAATTACTCAAAGATAAATTGCAGCAAATTCAGTCTGCAATCTTGATTTTTAAGTTCAATGCTGGTGTTAAAGACATAGATTTTTAAAATACAACAAGTGGGAACCTGTCGTCAATTGAGCAACAGTTCACCGCTAAGTATGACACATCAGCCAGCCTCTCATATGACTCGTCTCGGCAATTGTGACAAATGAGGCTCATCCATTCACGTGGCGCGCTCGCCGCCGTGGCGCACATTTCATTTGTTCTCTCTTGTGTGCGTGCGTGTGCGTCACGCGGCGTCAAAAAACATATAATTCAGAGACACAATGGGCAGCTGGTACGCAAGTGTCGTAAATCAGCCTAATGTGCTCAAAGACAGGCGCATCTGGGAGCTTAAGGACAATGAAATTGAAGACAAAATGGCACCGCGTTACAAATGTTTTGAGGGTTGGGTGCCATTCAATGCAGAATTAAAAGCGTAAGGATGGAGAATTGGGCATTTTAAGGAGACACAGACACCCTAAATTGTCTTAATACGAATGAGCGAGGATTGATTCACTTCCTTATGTCCGTACGCTAGCGTTAGCGTAGGTTAGTGTTCGGGTTTCCATTGTAAACCAAGGACGCCCCGTATTGAATTAATCCCTATTACGAGTTTAAATGAACTGAAAACTCACGGTATATACTTTTTTATTTTTAGTCAAGGGTAGATGCCCAGCCGACACGTCAGCATCAGCGACAGCGAGATAACGACAAGAGGCACTGAGCGAGCTGTGTGAGGCGGGCTCGTGTGACGCCAAGTAATTACATGTGATCGGCAGGGCCTCCTCGTAATTGACTTGAAAGAAAAAGGGAACGCACTGTGGCGTGCGCAGGGAATAAAATTAAGCCTATGGAATTCAGCGGATGGATGTCTAACGAGGACTGAGCCATGTCACGAAGAGCAAAAATCTCGAAGCAATTGATGCCTCCTTTGCTAAAAGATGCCAGTAAATCGACCGTTTAAAAAGAGTGTGGATCTGAGTCCACGGTAGTCTGAAAAAAACCGACAACATCAAAAACGGTCGAACATGCGAGTGCGCAAATGTCAAACTGCAAACATGCAGTGGCTCGCTGTAGATTGGAAGCTCCAAATTCAGGCACATATGGTGGCCAGTCGGCCAACATGATCAGGTCAAAGCGAAGAAAGGCTGTCGTTGAGATTTACTGACAGATCAATTTGCATATTTAACAGCTCCCTGAAGTTGTCAACATGGGCTTTGGAGTTCACACCCGCTTTTTTTCGACTCGAGCTCCCCACTTAGTTGTCAAGGTAACTTGCATGGGACAAGACCACCCCTTCAAAACGGTCGAAAAAATAAGCATACCAAAAATAAGCATTTTGATATTTACATGGCATATCACATATGTGGACTCGAATTCGGACTAAAAGTACTAAAAGGGAGGCAAAAATGTTTGCCAGTAATTTATAAACTCCCCCCGCCCCAAATATCATACAACTAATTGGTTTTATTTCTCCGGCGCATTAAAACAAATAGTTTTTAAAGCTGCACTTTTTAGGGGGGATGGTTAAATATGCAGCAGGTCACATTGCCCCATAAGCATCCAACATCAAAGGCGATTTAAATGCCTTATGGCTTGGACTTGAGGTTCCACCATGTGTCATTTCACACATTCTTGGGTAGTTTGCTGTCTCCCTGTCATATTTACAAGCTGTGCTGTAATGCAATTAACGAAATAATTTATACGACAGCCTGATTAGGTTAACCGTCACTCATCACACTGCAGGAAGTGTTCATCACATCGGAGTGACTTATTCGGATTTTACACTGTCCATGTTCAGGCATACATGCTGTAAAAACAAAGCATAACATGTTAATTAATAAATAAATGAATACATCTGACTTGATTACAGGGTGGGCCAAAGGTAAGATACACACATTTTAATTTTTTTTTTTTTTTTGAACAGGCATCTTTATTCTTGGAAAAAAAAATCCTTGTCTCACCTCTCGGGTGGTGTCCGTCCCACATTCAGCTCGGGTCCTCTACCAGAGGCCAGGAAGCTTGAGGGTTCTGCGCAGTATCCTTGCTGTTCCCAGCACTGCGCTTTTCGGAACTGAGATGTCCGATGTTGTTCCCGGGATCTGTTGCAACCATTCATCCAGTTTGGGGTTCACTTGGCCGAGTGCTCCGACCATATTTCGGTAGACTATGCCAGCCACCTGGTTATGGCGTTCCATGTAAGCTTTCCCTGCCAGCATCTTACACCCTGCAGTTATGTGTTGGATCGTCTCAGGTGCCTCTTTGCACAACCT